CAAATGATATGCTTACTACGTGCTAGCACTGATGCTTCTCCACCCAAGTAACCAGGCCTACAGTAAATGAGCAATGCTCTCATTCCGCATTGGTCATTACAGGGGTTAGGCTCAGCTTAGCAGCACTCAGAAAGCCGACTAGCTGGTCGGTCAGGGCTCCTCACTGGCACAAGCACAGCAAGTGGACAATATGGGGAGATGCACTTGTCTGAGAGCGACATGCTTGCCGTTCATGTTGGATCCAAGGTTGGAGAAGGGGAAGGATGTCACCCAGGTGAGCAAAACAGGCCATATTAGCCACCATCGTCTGCCTCTCCTCTGTCTTACGCTGGACTAGGACCGTGTCTTTTCTCCACCACTGGGCTGGACACGGCATGGGGCTGCAGAATGAGAACAAGTAAAAAGTGCTCTCCCCAAGAAGCTGTCTTGTGCAGGAATCAGTCTTCCTTTCTGAGAGTCTGATACAACAGGTACTTTTGCTTGTCTCCTGCATCGCATAAGGCCTCACATCAGGTCTCAGACAGATTAGGAGGTTAGAAGGCACAGTGTAATTCCACCCTCAGTCACAACCTGGATTTCTCTACCAATCGTTGCATAGTCTATAAGGAAATGCACTCGCTTGCAATGCATTTTCCCCCACCCTTTCAATGGAGGTGCAATAGCAACTTATCCAGTGCTGTCCCGGTTTGCCTCTGAGCTAGTACTCAGGCAAGCTTTAGATTACAGCCCTGGACACACTCTGCTCCTCTGCTGCCCATTTGACAGTCAGGCACTATCTTGCCTCTTGCTGCAGCAGTCTGAGTTCTCAGACATCAGCAAACAATGCAGTCAAACTCCCTGTAGCACAGCTGGCTAGAGATCAGTATGGCAGGCTCCCCCATCACATCCTGGAAGATTTTCAGTTATTCCCGACTGTGAACAACCCAACACCTCCTCTGCCCATACCTCAATCCATCACCCCAGGTGCCTCTGCCCACAGCATGTCCTTTGCAGGCCTTGCACAGCAAGGAAGTCACACACTTCATGCAATCCTCTGGCCAGACAGAAGCATGCCGAGGCACCCTGATCTCCCTCCTGCTGTTTGGCTTCATTTGGAAACGGAGAAAGTTGTCCGCGACAGAAAATTAAACACGTCCAGGTGTGTGCGTATTTTATATACCTATGAAGAAATGCTGTATGGGAAGTGCAGGGAAAATAGATAAGTGGAAGACCCAGAAAATACCTGTCCAGGTAACGGTGTGACAGCCCTGAAAAATCTAATCTCTGCTACCTGGCTTTACTTGCTTCCTTACTAGGGAACTTAGAGACTGCCTTAAGAAAATACAAAGTTCCCATCCTATATTCACTTCTGGGCAAGCAAACTCGGGTTCAGGCCATGAGTACAACCTGGTTTAAAGGGATTTTTCCTAGGCAACACTTGCATTTGGCTAAATTCTAGATAAAAACTACCTCCAGAAGACAGCTTCTTGATTACAGGCAGAAAAGCAAATAATAGAACACTATAGCAAAATATCTTCTATAACGTAAGAGGAATCCGGGTGTTAGATCTCTCTATGTCCTTTCAGGCCTCAACTTTACTGGGAAAAATGTTAACTGAGCTACTTGCAAAGTGAGAAATCAACCCAGCTGGGTCATCACCATGTAAACCTTCATTTCCATACTCACATTAACTCCCTTCCATGCCCTCTGTACCCCAGACCTTACTGTTTACAGCTGCACTGCGCTTGAAGTACCAACAGTAGCAGAAGCCCCTTGATGTCATCCCACCTATGAAAATGTGCACGGAGAACATAAGGCTTTTGCCTGAGATTAACTAAAAGGAATATTTCCTTTACATATTTTGAAAATATCATTCAGAAAATCCAAGGTGACATTCTGAGAGGTACAACTGCAATTGAGCAGTCAGGTAATAAGCACAAGGAATGAATAACGGCTTGGAATACACTTAATATAATATTTATTGACTATTTAAAAAAAAAAGATTTTTTATATCATCAGAGGTCTGGAGTAAAACCATTTCACTCTGCCAAAAATTACAATAACTGAAGGATTTCACTGTGTGTTATCTTTAATCTGTCCCTTCTTTTACAATCACTGTATCCTTGCAGATTACCAAAGGGAAAAAAAGAAAGAATTGACTCCTTAAGCTTCTATGAAACATACCTTCTAAAAAAGAAGAGGAAACACATCTGAAGGTTCTCTTTTAAAATTTAATTCAAATAGATGTAGTAGCCTGTTACTCAGTCCCTGCAACAGCTACTTGCAAGATGAGTGGAGAATGTTTGACTTTGTAATGTTTCTCTCTTCCTGGTGTTGATATAATCAATGATACAAAGCACGGTAACATCAAAGATCAGGCCCAAATGTAAACAAACAAACAAAAACATCCTGAAGTAGCTCTCTAATTCCTCTCCAGAAAGCCACAAGGCCCTGCTCTCTCCTTTACCTTCTTTCCCCGAGGCTCTGAAAAACTGCAGTATCTCAATTGGGCCAAGCCAGCTGATGAACTCAGGTGTGGTCAGGGGCTTTTGTCAAACCTCACTGCATATTCAAGGTGTGAGGTGGATAAATCTAGAGCAGACAGAGCAGACCTGTTTCTCAGAGAGAGAGAGAACTATATTGCTGTCACATCATCTTCTTCTGCAAAGGGAAAACATCATCAAAATAAGCTTTCTCAGTGCCTATTCACTCCATGGTACGTCACTGATCAGAAACTAGAATGTGACCCTGGTTCAAGCACGTCTTTAAGCCCTGGGTACAAAGAACGTTCATGTGACTCTTACCTGGGGTAAACACAGGGATGACACTGGTTCTTGTAGGCACTCCCATCAGTGACACACAGCAGATATTTATTTAACATGCAGATTGTGTCGGTGAGGTGAGGAATACAAAGTTACTGGAAAAACATGGAGGAAATACTGAGTTCAGTAAGCTGTTATTCAGATTTTCATAAGGAATGGCACAGAGAATGGAAATAGGAACACATCAAGATACATTCAGGAACACTGCCTTGTGTGCAAACCAGGAAATCACCGAAGGCCTGCTGACTCCAGCTTAAAACTAGTGAGAGGACAGGCAGCACCTACTGTGAAAGATTTTTGAAAACAAAACAGTGGAAAACACGTGTATTACACGTGTATTACACTTACATTGATTAAGCACATTGAATACCCTTCTCCAGTACTAACAGTGTCACTGAACAAACTAACTGGCAACATTTTTAAAGGAGCCCTACATCCACTGCAAATAAGTGGTGCCTTGTGCTGCCCTGTGCTTTTGAAAATTGCCTGAGGAAAGAGCTTAAGCAGAATGGTTTCTGGAGAAACAGAAGGAAAGCTCCTTATTTTAGCAAAGTGAAAGCTGTGATTAACAAATAGGAACAAGCAACCCAGCAAAGAGGCAGGTATTGTGCTTTCTCAGTTTCCAAAGAGTTTATTCCTAAGTCATCTTTTTGGTATTTGAGCAAACATCACAGATGAAGCTTAAACGGCCCCAGGAAGCGTTAGGTCCTTTGGTACAGACTGTTGCCTTCCTTTCATATCCAATGCTTTTCCACATTCACAAGTTATTTAGGTACAGATCAGATCAAATGCATCTCCCTGTTCTTTCCTATATGGAGGAAAATGCTCCCCTATGGAGGGGTACAACATGAAAAGGCACTAGAGCACACAAATCGCCTTCTTGCATTTTGCTTTCAGGGAGCTTTCACTTCCATCACTAACAAACATTTTAAATAAATCTCTTCCACTTGGGGAGCACTGGTGGCCACAGCTGCAGATCTTGTTTGATTCATTACCTCAGTATGAAAATTAAAACTTTCCACTGAAAAGTGTATGTAATGGGTATTATCTATTACTGTTTCTTTTACAAGATCAACGTTGTCATTGCCAGATGTTAAATCACATCTGTGAGTTGTGAAATTTATGTCTATGCTCCTGCATGAAAGGTGAACACATCCGCAAGTGGCAGGAAAAGTGCAAACAGTGAAAATAAAAGCTTCAAAAACAGTAAAGGAATTTTCCCAGCACAAGAGGGCTGGGTTGTTCATAATCATGAATAGTATTACTTCATCCATATCACTAGGTAAACAGAGGAAGACCTTAAATATTTTGGAGAACATCCAGTTTACTGAAACACTATTTGGTCTGAAGTGAAATAAAATTCTGAACATTGAACTGTTAACAGCTACCCCAGTAATCACTTTATATGTGTTTCTGGTATAGAAATGATGAGAATAATTCATAGTATACAGCAAAAATGCTTTAGCATGTATCATACTCAGTTCTTTTTTATAAAAATGTACCAATACCACTCACAATACCATTCACAAACGTCCACTCACACAAATGTCCATACAATTAATTAATGCATATAGTTGCATACTTTTACTTATTTCTGCATCAGCTTTTTATGTGTTTGTTAGAACAACTTCTTCTACCTTGATTTATTTCAGACAATCTTTGTTGTTGGGGCTGGCTTTAACAAAGCTCAGAATTGTCCACCACCATGGGGAAAAGCTGGAATACTCCAGAAATAGCAGCAGAAACTAAACACGAATCCATCATTTCTCTCTTCACCTTAACTCCAAGCAAAAGCCATTAAACTCGATTACACAGAGTGGAAGAAGGAGCGTGCTGCCTTCTTTAAGAGGAATCATAAAGGACATACCGCTTTGTCATCTCAATTTTTGCAGTCTTCTGTAAGCCACTCTTTGCTATGAGCTAATTTATCTTCCATAGGTAAAACCCCTGGATGCACCTTTTCCTCCAAAGGTATACAGTGCCAGTCATCACAAAATCCCACCCCTAAGTAATAATGCAACAAAAAACCTCTATGAAATCAGGCAAACTCCTATGGTCGGATGAGAGCGCTTAGAACTGCATCCCCCTTTCACAAAACTTGGACTTAGCTGGGAGACGACTTCAGACAAGAAGCATGGTGCTTTACTCTAAATGAGGACTGAGAAGGAATGATTTTAGCAGTAGAATTTGAAGTTTCATCCCGCAAATGCTAGAGGTTGTGGAATTTATTGTGTGATCAGCCTCAGAGCAATCTGTGGGAGATGAGGGTCCCAGGCACCCCCGAACAATCAGGATAATTTCCTTGTATTTTCGTGCTCAGACAGGGATGTGGGCCCCTATCCATTCATCCCGCTCCAACAGAATAAAGCGGGAATTAAAGTACACTTAAGCTTACCAATGGGAATAAAGGCACACAGACGATCATGGTAACCTGAACTTTGAAATTTCATCCTGACTGTAGCCAGTGTCAGCACATCATAACCACTGCTGCAAGACTGCTTTTAAGCATCTGCCAGAAGCAACTCTTCCCAAAAAGACAACCGCAGCAGCAGGGCAGCGCCACCGTGGTTTATTCCCGCTAACTCCCCTCAGTCCGGGCGGGCGGCAGCGGCTCCTCCGCCACGCTCCTTCCACCGCCCCGCAGC